TCTCTTTCCAAAACATTATACTACATCTTTATCTAAAATTCAAATAATTGTGATGCATATTGAACTTTTATGATTTTTTTGGGTAAGTGTTGCAATGTAGTTTAATAAATTGGTAACTATCGGAAAACAAAATCAAATTAAAATTAAATAAGAATAAAATTACTATTAGTAAATTATATCTATACTATTAAAATAGAAGCATGTTTTGTGTCCAAACAGAATTTACTTAGTTTTCTACTATTTTGTTTTTCAATATCTACTGTTACCAAACATGTTTTTAATTTGATTTATTTTTTTATTTATTTCTAAAAATTAAAAATAATATATTTGAATTTATTTTAAAAATAATTCCGAAAATTTTAAATTTAAATTTAGTTACTTTATATTTTCTTAGATATAGGTTAGATTAATTATTAAAATTACAAAAATCAGTTATTATTATTTTTATAAAAATATTATAGGATATTAATTTATGTTATATTTAAATATTCAAATTTAAATAATATTCTCATAATGATAAAGATGATAAATGATATATTATTTTATACATTTTTATAATCAATTAGTTTAAAAATTTGAGTCTTTTGTCAACAAATTTAAATGTTTAAAATTAAATTTTTATGTTATATAGTAATATAAACGGGTGGGATAGAATTATGTTTTTATATTCATGATTCTTTTCGGTTTAATCGAATGGACAGATTAAAATTGTATTTTTATTATAGTTTTAAAAAAACAAATTTTATCTAAAGACAAAATAAATTTGTGTCACTTTATTAAAAAATATTATATCTATATAAAAGACACATATCACTTTATAAAATTTGATTAAAAAATATAATTTCCTGTGCGAATGCAAGGGATAGAATTTAGTATTATATTAAAATAGAAGCGTTTTTAGTACTTACTTCTAAGCAGTCCTAAATTTTTTTTAAAAAATGTTCAGAAACATATTTAATAATGATTTATATTTAACTCCAAAAATTAGTTATCCATTTAAATATTTTTATATTTCCTTAAATATATAGGGAATTTAGATTTGATTTGATTTGATTTAAAGTAATAAATCAGATATTAATTTAGATTTGATTTAAATATTATAATTTAAATAATTTCTATACTATTAAAAAATTATCAAAAATACCAATAATTTTGGAAAAAAAAAATAATTCACATATGAAAAATAATGGTCATATTTGAAATATAAAAGATTTCTAATGATGTAAATGATATGATATTTATGTTGATTATATAAAATATTTATGATTATGATTTATTGCAAATTAATAATAAAATAATAGGTAAGAGTAAAATGTATAATTTAAATATTTAAACCATATTTTTAATAAACTGTAGAATAAAATATATAAATATATAAAAAACCGGATTAAAAATATTTTGGTAGCTAAAATCACTAATTTTGAATCGTACATGTATATCAAAAATATATTTTTTTGTACAAAATAAAAAACATAAACAAAAAATTAAAAAATATTGCATGCACTTATTATAGATTAAATTTTAGAAAATTATATAAGATGTTATATGCTAAATAAAATAACATTAATATACCTCAAACTTTTAATAAATATTTATAGTATACGGTAATATGAACAGACAAATTAGAATTATACTTTTAAAATCATAGTTCATTTTGGATTAATGTTAACGGGCGGGTTAAAATTATATTTTATAATCACAGTTATCTTTATACTATAAAAATGAAATTTATAAAAAAATTATATCTTTTTTTTTGTCAACAGCCTAAATACCTACAAGGACTCAGAAGTCCAGGTCGGTGGTATTGAGTTTACATAGATTATATCTTGAGGGTAGACTCGAACACTCCGTGCTAGGAGATCAGCCTTCATATTCTTAGCTCGTGGGACAAGGGAGATAAAGAAAGAAGTGAAAACCTCTTTACTCCTCTTGAATTCTTCTAGGTGTAATCCAAACGCTGGCCACTCATCTGTTGTAGACACCATCTTCACCAATTCGGAGCAGTCTGTGACGAACGCTACCTCCATCTTGTTATTTGCTATCATACAATGCATCCCCCAAATGAGGATTCTGAGTGTAGCGGAGTTAAGCTTCGCCTGACATTTCTAGCACCCATAACAACCTCATCATTGCCTTCTTTGCACAAATACCAACCTAAACCGGAAGCTTTATCCGTCTCCTTCCAGGATCCATCAATAAAACATCTCCATCCTGAATACTGCAGGATGATTCGATCCATAATTCCGATATTAGTTTCAACATGTTCCTCCTCCTTTTGTGCTTCTTCCCAGTTGCTTGCTTCTGTTTCCGCGATTTTCAAGGTTATTTGTGCATCTCTATCGATATTTGAGTACACTTTATCATTTCTTGCTTTCCAAATGTACCACAGGATCCATGCAAAATCTGTTGTTTTATATTCCTGGGGGATTCTCCAAAATAGATGATCAAAATTTGCATAAACCGATGAGACGGGAAAAACATCCAGAGGTGTGGGAATCTTTGAGCGGGCCCAGATCTGCCTTGCCGGGGGGCATTCAAATAGAACATGATTTATTGTTTCCTCTTCTGTTCCACATCGAACACACAATGTGTCACAATTTATTCCTCGATTCTTGAGTCTTGCCAGCACTAGTAAACAGCCCGATAATGCTTGCGAAATGAAGTGTTTCAATTTTGGTGAGCAACTTAGTTTCCATGTGTGTGCCTGCAGTGACTTTAGTTCCGGACCGTAGTAAAGTTTCATACTATTCTCTGATTTTTGTTGTTTTACCTGGTATCCAGATTTAACCATATATTTACCTGATTTCGTGAAGTGCCACCTTAGTGTATCAGGTCGATAGATGCAACTCGTGGGTATTCCGCGAATGATTTCCACATCCACTAGATCAATGATGGCGTTAATCAATCCTAGGTTCCAAGTTTGAGTGACCGGATCAACCAGATGGTTGACCATTAGATTTGGGTAGTAGTTAAACCCTTTACATGTACATGTGGCTGGCCTCGGGCGAGAAGCTGGTATCCAAAGATCATTCCATACTGAGATCGAACAACCTGATCCAACTCTTTTGATTAGTCATGTTTGAACCAGAGGTCTACCCGATATTATACTCCGCCACCCGTAAGAAGGGGAGTAAGAGCGAATAGGATCCAGTGGGTCTCTGTTTCGATAATATCTTCCTTTGAAGACCCTTGTGAATAATGAGTCTGGTTTATCCAATAATCGCCAGAGTTTTTTTGCGAGTAGTGCCGTGTTAAAGTCCTTTATTGATCGAAATCCCATACCCGTCTTATGTTGACACATTTTCTTCCATGCTAACCAATGTATTCCTTTTTGTTGTCCGTTTGAGCTCTACCAATACCGAGCTGCTGCACTTGTAAGTTTCGTTGTTATAGATTTCGGTAATCGAAAGCATGACATTACAAATGTAGGCATTGCAGATGCCACTGATTTTATCAAGACCTCTTTACCCCCTTTGAATAAAAGTTTTGCTGTCCACCCATTTATTCTGTCCTGTTGTTTTTCCGCGACAAAATTAAATATTTTGGTTTTGGCTCCTCCCAAGCTCTCAGGGAGGCCTAAATATTTTCCCATTCCTCCAATTTTATCAATTCCTGTAAATTGTCTTAGCTCATCTTGAACTGCTACTGGGACTGTATGGCCAAATTGAATTGAAGATTTTTCAAAATTTATCTGTTGTCCAGAAACCGTTTCATACTGTGTGAGTATTTGTAGTATCTTCTGGCATTCTTCCGTATTTTCTTTGCAGAAGAATAAACTATCGTTCGTAAACAGTAAATGTGTAATTGCTGGACTTGCCTTTGCTATTTTAATCTGGTTAGGGTTTTGGCCATTTCTGCTCTTTTTATATTCGAGATTAGAACTTCCGTGCAAAGGATAAAAACATAAGGAGATAGCGGATCACCCTGACGTAGTCCCCTTTGTGGTTGTATCTGACCTTTAGGTAGACCATTCAGAAGAACATTATATTCTACCGAAGTAATACACCACATTATCCAAGTAATCCATTTTTCCGCAAAGCCCATTTTCCTCAGCAGATTCTCAATGAAGGACCATTCAACCCTATCATACGCCTTACTCATATCTGTTTTTATTGCCATATATTTTCCTTTACATGAGCTATTGGTTCTTAAACCATGAAACATCTCCTGAGCTATCAAAATATTATCTGAAATCAATCGCCCCGCCACAAAAGCTGATTGTGTTTCCGAAATAACCTTGGGCACCAATCTCTTAAGTCTTTGGCATAAAACCTTTGAGATAATTTTGTACCTGACATTGCACAGACTTATGGGCCGCAGCTCTGTCATCCGCGTAGGTCGCTCTCTTTTTGAGATTAGGCAGATGTTTGTCACATTCAACCTCTTGTTAAAAACCCCTGTTTCTAAAAAGTCATTAACCAAATGTACTATATCCGCCTTTAATATATGCGAGGCCCTTTGGAAAAAAAAGTGTTGTCATTCCATCTGGACTTGGTGCTTTCTCTGGAAAAAAAGTTATATCTAAACATAAAAAAAAAATGAAATATTTTCACTTATTAAAAAAGATATATCTATAAAAATAATTATATCTAAACTCAAAAAACATAAATTATATTATGAAATTCGCTAAATACAACAATTCTCGTATGGATGCATAAGGTTAGAATCTAGTATCAGTATCAACAGTAACTTATCAAATCTTAAACATAAAAGGAAATGAAAATATAAACCAATTAAGGCCAAACACATATTTTTAGTAAAAAAATCTACACAAAGATTTTTTATTTTAAAAGACTGGATCTCAATGACACTTTAACACATGGCACATGTCATCCCCCAACACCTAAACTTAATTTATAATGGCACTTAAACAAAAACACGTTCTTTAAGTAGCTATATATATAGAGAGAGAAAGAGATGAACTTGGCAGAGGGAGGAGCATCTCAATCAAATAACATCTAAACAAACAGAAAAAAACCTTTTGCTGATCTCTTGAGGAAATGGGGTCAAAGTTTCATGCTTTTATGTACCCATCGTTTGGTTTTGGTCATATGATTCCATACCTTCATCTAGCTAATAAACTAGTTGAGAAAGGTCATAGGGTTACTGTCTTGCTTCCCAAGAAAGCTCAGAAACAACTCGAATCTCTCAATATGTTCCCAAACAGCATTGTCTACGACCCTGTTACTCTTCCTTGTGTCGATGGTCTCCCTGTTGGAGCAGAGACAACCTCAGATCTCTCAAACTCGCCTAAGCATGTCCTATACGATGCCATGGATCTTTTACGCGATGAGATCGAAGAAAAGGTTCGTGCCTCCAAACCAGACCTAATCTTCTTCGATTTTGCCTGTTGGATTCCAGAAGTAGCAAAAAAGTTTGGAGCCAAGAGTGTGAGTTACCAGATCGTTTCCGCAGCTTTTGTAGCTATGTTTCTTGCACCTGGTGCTGAATTAGGGTTTCCTCCACCGGGTTATCCTTCATCGAAAGTGCTATTACGTGGACATGACGCTAACCTCTATTCTCTCTTCGTGAATACCCGCCAATGGCTTTTTGATCGGGTCACCACCGGCCTTAAGAACTGCGACATCATTTCCATAAGGACATGCGCAGAAATTGAAGGTAAGCTATGTGGTTTCATTGAAACACAATGTCAGAAAAAAGTTCTATTAACCGGTCCAATGTTCCCTAAGCCGCAAGAAAAGAGTGTCAAAACACTAGAAGATCGTTGGAATCATTGGCTGAACGGGTTTGAACCAGGCTCGGTAGTGTATTGTTCGTTGGGAACCCATTGCTTTATCGAAAAACATCAGTTTCAAGAACTTTGTTTAGGAATGGAGCTAACAGGTTTACCGTTTTTGATAAGAGCTATGCCGCCCATAGGCGCATCAACGACACAAGAAGCATTACCAGACGGGTACGAAGAGCGGGTTAAAGGGCGTGGAATAGTTTGGGGAGGATGGGTAGAACAACCTTTGATTTTGTCTCATCCATCAGTAGGTTGCTTTGTGAACCAATGTGGGTTTGGTTCAATGTGGGAGTCTTTGGTTAATGATTGTCAGATTGTGTTTATTCCACTATTGGCCGAGCAAGCTCTCACCACTAGATTGATGACAGAGGAACTCCAAGTATCTGTGAAGGTGCAAAGAGAAAATTCTGGATGGTTTTCTAAAGAGAGCTTGAGAGATGCCGTTATATCTGTGATGGATAAAGATAGTGAGATTGGGAATTTAGTGAAGAGGAATCATAAGATGTTTAAAGAGACTTTGGTTAGTCCTGGATTGTTGAATGGTTATGCTGATAAGTTTGTTGAAGCATTGGAGAATGAAGTCAACAACACAAAATCGTTTTGAATTGAATGCTTTGCAAATTTTAAAATAATGTTTCTTTCTTCCGTATTGAATGAAATGTTTTTTTTTAAAGGCATTTTACATTTTATATTTTTTTGAAATAAAAATGTAAATTGTTCTGAAATTAAAAGTTATCAATCACAAAGAAAAAATTACGGAGTCTTACTTAGTAGTACACATGCCTCTCCCAAGCTATGTGGTTAAACACATCTCTAGATTTTTCTTCACATTGCAAACAATTAAAATTCATAAGGAATATGGTAGTTATTAACAATTCACATATGTAACCTACATAAATATTACAATTCATATATATAACCTATATGGTAGAGATTAACAATTCATATATATATATATATATATATATATGAATTTTAACATCGATCTGAAGTATACAAAGAAGATTAGAGAAAGAGGGGCTGCACTTCCTCTTTCAATTGAACAAAATAAAAGGCCAAGACTTTACAGATGGTATCAGAATTAAGCTAGTTTATTTTCATGTAAATTTATTTATTTCGGTTGAACTTGTGATAGGAGAGCACCTCCTTTGAAAGTATACACAAGATAGAGGATTAAGCAGCAACATAATGCGACTTGAGCTCAGATCATTTACACGTGTTGAAGGTTGTTAAGTGTAGGCGTTCACACGTGTATGGAAGATGGATTAATCTCTTAGTATAAATAGGATTAATCATGTTTTAGGGGGAATTATGTTGATTGTGTATTTGATCAAGCATCATGAGCTTGTTTATCTTTTCTGCTACAGTCATTATGAGAGTGTAAAGAAAAGATAATTCATACGCATTCTTCATTTGTACTTCTCACTTTATCCAATAAAAAAGAAATTTACAGAAATAATTAGAGTTGGTTGTTAACAAAATGGTGCATCGTGACGAGATCGATCCAACGAATACACCAAATCCTGAATCGGAGATGCTTAGCGAAGACGATTATGGAGGAACCTCGGCGATCAAATCAGATCTGGAGTTTCTACAGGGCGGATATACAAGACTATGCGCAGCTAACGCGAAAGCGGAAGCTAGAATGGCAGAAATTGACGGGAAGCTTAATTCAATTTTGACGGCGATTCAACAGCAATCGAACCTGCCTCCGAGCTCAGAAATTGAAATACCACTAGGTTATCGACCAGGTTATTCCGAATTAGCGAATCGAGAGAGTATGTTAAAGAAAATAGAAATGCCGATGTTCGATGGATCTGCACCTTACGTTTGGATAGCAGATATGAAAAACTTCTTTGAAATTGGAAGATATGAGGATGATGCGAAGCTGGATTTAGTTGCGTTAACATTGTTGGGGAAGGTTAAGAAATGGTTTGTTTGGGCAAGAAAAAGACAAGATTTTCAGAATTGGAGAGATTTCAAGGAAAAATTGCTAGTCAGATTTGCAGAAACCCTGGAAAATGAACCGGGTAAAAGATTGTACTCGATCAAGCAAACAGGAAGTGTGAGCGATTATGTTTCAGAATTTGAAGACTTATCAGCACAAGTATCACGAGTTGATGACAAAGGCTTGGAGGATATATTTTACAATGGTCTGTCACCAAAGATGAAAGAGGTTATCAAAATTAAGGAGCCAAAAGGATTAGCAAATCATATTGCAGCGGTTCTTAAAATGGAAAGCAGTAACTTTTGCAAGGTAGTCAGTGAAGTTGCAAAAAAAGAATGCAGTCAACAAAGATTGGGTAATACACGAAGCTTCACCAACAACAGTTTGCCAAAGTCACAAGCGATGATACCATATAGACGAAGACAACAGAACACAGATCAGAGTGATAACAAAGGACACCAAGGAATGGGAAGAAATTTGACAAGACCAAGACAGAACTTTTCCGATGCAGAGCTGGATATGAAAAGAAGTTTAGGACTATGTTTCAAATGTGATGCAAAATGGTTCAAAGGTCATGACAAGGAATGTCCAAAGCAAGATTTACAAGTCAGAACAGTGTTGAATGGATTCAAAGTTGAGGTATTAGACGAGATCAGTTTGAGCTATTGGAAGAGGAAGATGCATCTGAGGGTAAACTCACACATTTGTCCTTTAATGCTTTTTTGGGTCTAAACTCTCCTAAAACTACAAAAGTTTATGGCAAGATTGGGAAGACAACAGTTGTGGTTATGTTAGACAGCGGGGCTTCACACAATTTCATTGCACCAAAAACAATTCTTGATGCTCGAATAACTGTGATAGAAGAGACTACGATGGACGTGTTGTTAGGTAATGGATTACAGGTGAAGAGCTGTGGAATATGCAGATATGTGAAAGTTCACCGTTGCTGGATACGAGTTTTCAACATACTTCATATCACTTGAACTGGGAAGTGTGGACATCATATTAGGTGTGCAGTGGTTAGAAACACTTGGGAAGTGTCATATAGATTGGAAGAAACAAGAGTTTTCATCCATCCATAATGGTGAATGGATTACACTGTATGGAGATATTTCTCTTCACTCTCGACGTCTATCATTGAAATCATTAGCTTCGAAGCCTGTAGTGATGTCAAAAGGAGTATCGTTGGAGTTCGGTATTCAAAATATTTCTGAAGCAAAGAAAAGTGAGTTACCAATATTGATTACCGAATTTTTGCAGGAATACAACAGTGTCTTTGCTGTTCCAACCGAGTTACCTCCTATCCGTGGAAGAGAACATGCCATCACACTACAGAATGGTCATGGCCCAATTAATGTCAGACCATACAGATACCCGCAAATGCATAAGGAAGTGATGAAAAATATGGTTCAAGATATGCTAACGAGTGGCACTATAAGGAAGAGTGTAAGCCCTTACTCCAGCCCGGTGTTATTGGTGAAGAAGAAGGACACGAGCTGGAGGTTCTGTATTGATTACAGGGCATTGAACCGAGCCACTATTCCTGACAAATTCCCCATACCAATGATCGATGAACTCTTGGATGAGTTGCATGGTGCGGTGTTATTTTCGAAGTTGGACTTGCGTTCTGGTTATCATCAGATACGCATGAAAGAGACTGATATCGAGAAGACAGCGTTTAGAACGCATGATGGGCACTACGAGTTTCTTGTAATGCCCTTCGGGCTTACAAATAGTCTCTTATGAATGATCTCTTTCGTTCGTTTCTGCGAAAGTTTGTCCTCGTTTTTTTCGACGACATATTGATATACAGTCGCAGCTTAACAGAACACAATGATCATCTTGAGGTTGTGTTGAAAGTTTTTGCAGATAATCACCTCTTCGCTAACAAAAAGAAGTGTTCTTTTGCTCAGTCAGAAGTGGATTACTTGGGCCACATTATTTCAGCTAAAGGAGTAGCTACTGACCCAAGTAAAACAGATGCGATGCTTAGATGGCCTGTGCCAAAAACAGTGAAGGAGTTAAGAAGACTTCTCGGGTTAACAGGTTATTACCGTCGCTTCGTCAAAAGATATGGTCACTTGGCAAGACCTTTAACAGAACTTCTCAAGAAGGATAAATTCCAGTAGTCCGAAAATGCACAAACAGCATTTGAGATATTGAAGAAAGCCATGACTTCAGCACATGTTTTGGCTCTGCCTGATTTTTCTGAAGTCTTTATTGTAGAAACAGATGCCTCGGGTTATGGTTTGGGAGCGGTATTAATGCAAAACAAAAGACCTATAGCGTATTTCAGTTCAATATTAACTCCAAGAGAACAACTTAAATCGGTTTATGAGAGAGAATTAATGGCTATAGTGCTTGCTATACAGAAGTGGAAGCATTATCTCATTGGACGATCGTTCATACAGACCAGAAGAGCCTAAAATTTCTGTTAGAACAAAGAGAGGTCACGATGGAATATCAGAGATGGCTGACACGGCTATTAGGTTATGATTTCGATATTGTCAACAAACCTGGAATAGAAAACAGAGCTGCTGATGGGTTGTCTAGATGTATGCAGACTACTCTGGGTCGATGACTACAACATTGTTGGCATTGACAGTTCCTACAGTTTTACAAATACAGGATGTTCAAATAGATTGACGAAGATGCATTCATTCAGAATATGATTAAACGGATCAAGGATGGTGAAGTGGTTAAAGCAGGATACTCAGTAGCTAAAGGTAAACTGTGGTATAAAAGACGACTGATTATTCCATCGAGCTCAGCTTACTTTCCACTGTTACTCGCTGAATATCATGAAGGACCTATTAGAGGACATTCGGGTGTATTAAAAACAATGAAACGTCTGCAACTGTCAGTTCACTGGAAAGGAATGAATGAGTCGGTGCAGAAGTTTGTTGCTGAATGCCGAATCTGTCAAACACATAAGTACTCGACTCTATCACCAGCCGGTCTTCTTAAGCCATTGCCTATTCCAAATGCGGTGTGGGAAGATATAAGCTTAGATTTCATCGAAGGTCTACCCCTCTCATGTGGCTTCAATGTTATTCTAGTAGTGGTTGATCGATTCAGCAAGTATGGCCACTTTATTGGGCTAAAACATCCATTCTCTTTGATTGATGTGGCGATGAAGTTCATCAAAGAGATAGTGCGACTTCATGGTTTTCCAGCCTCGATTGTCTCCGACAGAGATAGGATTTTTTTTAAGCCACTTTTCGAAAGAGATATTCAAGCAGGCAGGCACTAAACTTAAGTACAGCACTGCCTTCCATCCACAAACAGATGGACAAACGGAAGTGCTCAATAGATGCTTGGAAACGTACTTAAGGTGTTTGGCATCAGCTCATCCGAAGACTTGGGACAAATTTCTACCATGGGCTGAACTTTGGTATAACACCAATTACCATACTGCTTTGAAAACGTGTCCATTCTCTGTGGTTTATGGTCAAGAACCGCCTACTTTGTTGAGATTTGAGGATGGATCAACAACTAACTTTGAGTTAGAGATGATGCTTAAGGAGCGTGACTTGATGCTTATTCAGATTAAAGAATATTTGCAATGTGCTCAAGATATGATGAAGTTACAAGCGGATAAGCATCGACGTGATGTAGAGTTTACAGTGGGTACAAAAGTATTTCTCAAACTCAGA